TGGCAATTGAGAGTTGCAAATTGACGTGGCTGTCAGGAAGGGAGCAATACCTTCAAAACCTTCGCGCCAGGACCCGGTCCACTCAACGCGGCAGTCCTAGAGACCAGGGCACGCCATCTTTGTGATCATCACAACAGGGGGGTCGTATTTGCCCGCGATCGAGGGGGGGGGTCGTAAACGCATGGCCCATGTTGAAGTGGAGAGAGCGGTGATACACGGTACAAGTGAAAAGAAAAACTCAAGACACTTCGCCCACCAACCCTCTCATTTTTTTCTGCGGTCTAGGTAAATCCCAATCCACTAATCCGCAAAATCTAGAAAAAATCCATTGCAAAAGCTACCTATGAAACCGTAGAAATTGAATCCTGAGCAATTTCCTCACAACAAAATCAAACGCAACAAAACAAAACCAAACTCAACAAAAACAAACAATCAAAATAACTCACAATCAAATAAGAAAAAGAATAAGATAAAAAAAAAACTCACCAGGCCAGCTGGGAACCGGAACTATGGATTACTTTTGAATTTTGGCTGTTCGCGACCCAGTCATGCGCGCTCATACAAGCGCATTGGTGCGCGCTATTTACGGTTTGGAGCCAATTTCAAGCCAAACACGTGAAAAGTACCCCTCATTTGAACACCCAAATTCGTTGAAAGTGAAGCTATCGAGAGGGTGGTGTAACGGGAGATATGAGTAGAGCTAGGTTGGCTCTTATCACCTGAATTGAGCGATTTCAAAAACGTTCCGGTTCCAGAGATTTTCCCCGTTGTGATCATCTTTGTGATCCGTCTGTGATCATTTTTGCGAACCGCGAGTCGCTACGCTTTGGACGTCCATGGCAAGCTTCATACACGACCTTTCGTAAAAAAAAGAACTGTGCCGGAAGCTTGAAGATTTCTACTTTCCAGCAAGGTTTTAATTTCCTTCCTAGACCTACTATTCGAAAAAATTCCCCGTTGTGATCATTTTGTAATCACCCCCACGACACCGAAAAATCAACCCCTCCGAGGCCATGAAACCTCCGGTTGGCTTGATGACTTTGGTATGCTTCTAAGAGACATGTTTTCGCAAAGGGTATCAGGAAATAGGCCATTGGGCGCCAATTGGCATCACCTCTGCAATGCGCCATGCATGGGGCTTTCACGCAGGTGTTTAGAAAGGGTCTAGATAGGGCTTCCCAATTGCAAGCAAATGTGCTCCTACGATCAGAAAAGTCCGGGAATGTACTTTCATCGGTTTATTAATCGTCACGTCGTGAGTCCTTTGCTTAATTCATGGTGCCCTTGTGGGCGGTGATTGAAGCTCCTATCATCGTCCCTTCCTCGTACGTATTGTCAGTATGCTACACCAGCGCCAGAGTGCTGGACGTGCTTGGGACGTACGTGGTACTGCGACCTCCCCCCCCCCCGGGAGGGGTCGTACTTGAAGATGGATTATAAAAGGCCGGGGGTCGTATTTTTTCAGGAAATGAGACAACGCAATGGCGTGCCCTGCTTCAGAAGCCTGCACTCTCGTTATTGATGATAAATTTACGCTCCTATCTTAGTGATGCGGCCTCTAACAGTCTAGCGGTTCCGCAATGTCAGTGGTCACTGGGAGAAGATCCAGATCCTAGGAGAGCTTCTTTTCAGTTGTCAGTTGTAGATGAGGTGGTCTACATTGTTCGCGTTGAACTAATGATTTGGATTAGCATAACGCTTGCTCACTGTCCAATTTCAGTGTGATAGATGACAAGAGGTTGTTTATTAGTGAGTGGCTCTCACGACGCTATTCACGTTGCTTTCTTAAGATTCTGGGGAAGTCTTCGTAGTGTGTTCCGTCTCATGTCTCGAAAGCATTCATTGCAGAGTGTCCCTTAGAGCAATCATCGATAACAGACAGACAGTGAGAGATTCGGTAGAAAGCTTTATCACATACTCTGTACCACTACTCACATAGTCTTGACCACTGCTGACAGTGGACGTGTTCAGCGTGCGATCTGATTGCGGCGCCAGCCCGGTTTCCTCCAAATGTTTTTGCGCTCGGCCGCTTTGAAGTATGGCGGAAAGCAGGCTGGCGGTCCGCAGAACGCAGCAGTTTAACATGCCCTAGTATCCGCAGCGAACAGGAATGTAGTTACATGGGATAATCTCGAAAATCATGGAGGGAAAACGGAGGGAGTAAAAGGTTCTTTCCAGGGGCCTGCGGGTGCGCCGGCCTCGTCTACTTGTCGGTCCATGTCATAATACACATTTTCAAGGAAAAGGAATTACCTGGGACAAACAGACGGGTTATAGCTCGCCTTGTTTTACAGCCAATCCAGCCACTACAGTGACGCAGACACCTTTTTGGAAAACAGCAGGATTCCAAACCAGTTCACCAATACCCCGCGCAGATATCGGCTTCGTCGCCCCACTTCTCCCGATAATGATTGGCGTACGGGTAAAGGGAAGTTAGATAATATGAAGCAAGACCTTCCATTACTAAACAAAAATTGTAGACACTCAACAAGTATAATCGTGGGCTTGATTCACTACAAGAATTGCACAACTTAAAGACACAATGGCGTACGTGCTCAAACACATTGAGGGTGTATGAGACTATCAGCCCCCCAGCTGTCGATGTGTCGTGGTCCCCCCGCTCAAACATGCCCAGGAATGGAGATACAGGACCGTGGGAAAGGCTTATTCCTTGCTACTCCGCCCAAAATTCACCGCGCGCGCGGCGAAATGCAACTCGCGCGCGCTGTGAATTTTGCGCGGAGTGAAGTAGCAAAGGAATAAGGCCTTTCCACGGTTCCTGTATTCTCCATTCCTGGGCATGTTTGGGCGGGGGGACACGACACATCGACAGCTGGGGGCTGATAGTCTCATACACCCTCAAGTGTTTGAGCGTACCATGTGTCTTTAAACATCAATTTTGATGGAACTCGACCCACATCCTCGAGCTCTTCTGTTGGAAGCAACTATCCTTACGTGAGCTTCTAACCTTTTCAAACATTTGAATTAAGATGAGAAAGCTGGC